GAGAGAGAGAGAGAGAGGGTTCTGTGATGATATATAGGTCGGTTTGGTAATTGTAAAAAGGAAATGCTACTGATAAGTGTTGTCTATAAAAGATAGCAGTGTGCAAGTAATAAAATGCTTCTGTTCTGCTTGCTTGGTGTTTGCAGCACTTGCAGTAGTAGCATTAACTTCTCTCGTCACCGAACTACTTGTTTGGTTGCTCCATAATTAGCATTGCTGCTTAAATGGGAACTCTGTAATAGTACAAAGCTGCTCGTTTATTACCAGCAGCAAAGAGTACGATGAAAGTTCCTGTCACACTCAAAAATTGTCTTCTCTGTGTCCTCTGCTTGAGCTTACAGACATAATTCTCCCAAGATTGTGGGGAATTGCTAGCTACAGCTTCAAGTACAGAGCAGTCTTGGTTCCAAGCAATGAAGCCTTGACACAAGAAGATGGAGTTGGAGGACACAAAGTCTTCATCGCACAGTGAGGTGAGTGTGCACCTGCACTAGGTTTTGGAGTATGTTTCGCTTGTTGTTGGCCAAAGGCATTTGCCAATTACCATGACTGATTGGGGTCCATATGCTCAGGGATATCCAAGAACTCCAACATGAGTATCCCCGTCGTACTACCTAACTTTGACTCGAAAGACGTTTGTCTCCCAACGTCCACTATTTCTTAGTGGTAGGAAGACCTAGCAAGTGTCCATGGGACTTCCAGTTAACGAAGCTGCAGAGAAGGGTCTTGTGCATATATAGTTAATAGCTTTATACACATATATATATGGTCATGGCGATCTCTATATACTTGTCATTTGATCTAGATTATGAAGTAGTCGAAGCATATCACAGATGCAAGAAACTGCCATCACACTCACCTGTAAAAGACGTCTAATCCTTGCATCGAAGAAACTGGCATCAGGTCAGAAGTCGAAGGATGAACCAATGCAATGTCTATGGGCTGTGCTTGGATTCGGCCTCTCGTGTAACCTTTTCATGTGAGCCCAAGTACACCATATTGGCCGAATAAAAATGATTCCTGTACGTCACCACCTTTAATTGCTGGCTTGACAAATGGTGGTCACTCACTGCCTCAAAAAGGTCATGGTGGAAGTCATCACTGCTACATTGTGCGCCACGGCTGAGAAGACGGCGTCTTGTTTCATCCCATTGGATTTCGCATACGACGGTCACAGCAGTAATCCTGTCGATCACCAATCACTCGATAAAAATCTACAGTAGCCAGAGACGACATCTTGATGACAAGTACCGATCCTCACAGGCACGATGGGGTGAGCTATCACTGAACTGCTTAAGACCAGAAGTGAGAACTAATGAAGATCACATCCTAAAGTCCTTTTTTTTTCTTGAGGAAGAAGGCGTTTCTTTGACGGCTTGTAGTGTACCATCACACTGTCCTCTTCCCTTGTATGCCAAGAATAGATGTGATCGTGTAGGGAGTAGAGAAAACTTTCGATCTGCTCTTACTTGCTCGGGGCTTCGATAAAGCTGAAAAATGTCATTCGATGATTTGGCTTGATGGAACAGAAGGAGAGGGATTTTATCTGATGGAATGCCACATACAAACACAGTAGCCACCAACCCCTCGACGGCAAGTGTTCTTACCGTCCACATCTCCTCCATCGTCAGCCAACCATTGGAATTGGGTGATAAAGAGTGAAGAAGTCCAAAAGGAGCCTACAACAGTCCCCCACCTTGCTTTCCGATCCATCGAATTTGATTCCTTCACCATTCCTCCAACCAAAGGAGAGTTCTTCTCTCTCTCTCTCTCTCTCTCTCTCTCTCTCTCTTCGCCCAGATACTCTCTGCTCTGTGAGTTGTTCATGGCCGCCACTGATAACCAACCGACTTGGGTTCCGTATGTGCCAACGAGAGATTGCTCTATGGGCTTCTGTAGCGTCTACTGCCCTCAGTGGTGCTACACCATCTTCCCTCCCCCTCCCACGTTAGAGTTCTCCGATGGTAGCTCCGGCGTGACCTTCTCCCCTTTCGTGATCGCCATCATCACCGTTCTCGCTACCGCCTTGCTTCTCATCTGCTACTACACCATCGTCTCTAAGCACTGCGGCGCCTTCAACTCGCTGCAAAGGCGATTCCAACCCAGGGGCAACGACAACGTTGAGCTCGACGATGATGCTGCCGGCCTATCTCAGGCCCAGGAAGCTTCGAATGCTTCCCCGTCGAACGGGCTTGATGAGGCATTGATCAGCAAGATCGCAGTCCACAAGTACCGGAAAGGCGAGGGATCGGTGCAGGGCACCGATTGCTCCGTTTGCCTCAGCGAATTCCGGGAGGATGACAGCCTGCGGTTGCTCCCCAAGTGCAGCCACGCGTTTCATGTGCAGTGCATCGATACATGGTTGAGATCACACTCCAATTGCCCTCTCTGCCGAACCAGTATCGTCTCTATGAATCCAACGGTGCCAGCCACTCGGGAACCAGTGAACGATCATCATCAGGTGGAAGAAATGGTCATGGTTGTAGCAGAGACAGTCGCTGGTGCGGAAGAGGAGATGGAGCGCGGTAGTAGTGGTGATGCAGCGAAGCATCCTTCCCGAATTTACTGTGATTCGGGAGGGATGGAGGAGAGATACACTGTGGTTGAGATCAGAGATGATGATGATGATGATATCCAATCAATTAGACAATCATTCTCGATTGATGCTTCGCATCATGGACGGCTTTCGATCGCGGGCGTCCAGAGGATGAGCACGGGGGACGAACAGTTAGCTGCAACCGGTGCCAGTTCGTCGAGTCCAGCTGCAGGGAATCACAGCAAGGGCATCAGTGGCAGATGGAAAGGAAGGCAATGAGCTCCCAACGCAAGATTCTGCTTCCGAGTAGGACACCTAGAATCGTCGAAGCAGAAGAAGCGGCACATCCAGCATCCTAAACCATGTCCAATTGAGAATACAAAGAAAGAAAGATCGAGGCTTTTTGGAGCAGCAGCTCTTATTGCATTGTAAACATGTATATGGCTTGAATGGCCTCTCTTGTTCCGCAACATCAACAGAGTCCACGCCTGTTCCTCTGTTTTCGTTGACCGAGTTGTATGTTTTCTCGTTCTCGTGCCTCACACAAGGTGATCGAGATGGTGAAACTCCAGTTCCAAAACCTCGAAAGCTTGACAACAGAAGCATTTGGCTTTGTGGGCAAACAACAAGATCGCCTGAAAGCAGATGCATCGATTCTGGCCTCGGTGTCTCCGATTCATCATCAGGACAAACTCCACTCAGATGTACTCTCCAACAGGGGAAGGACGAAAGTGCCTGGTTTTGGCATGTGAACCTCTCCAGCGTCCATTGGTCTCTGATTCCAGCTGAAGTATGGAAGCTTAGTCTAAAAGTAGATGTGATATAACGAATGTAAAAGTCCACCGCCCACGTCATGACATTGTTCTAATAGTGAAACCACACCCACCGGAGATGCTGACCAAAACCGGACCGGTGATGGAGGGTCTCAATCTCTTCGGAGGTGGCGTTCCCAGTTATGATAGCATGAGTTTAAACGACTCGTCAAGATAGGAAATTCCGTTATGATCCAATTAATTTATATAAGATATATTAAAGATTTAATTAAATTTATCGATCAATAAAAAATAGATCTAATTATATTAATAAATAATTTGATGGGAGAAACTTTCCTAATTATTTTTTCTCAGAACATTTAATCTTGCTCGGTGGGATTTAATTATTATAATAGAGATCGTTATGTAATCTTTATGGGGAGAGAAAGATAGTGTTTATAGAGCTTCATATACCAAAAAGATCGGAAGAATATGTTCCTATTGAAAATATTCATATGTATAAAATAAAATAAAAGAAGACGAAAG